TCCAGGACTTTAAATCTATCAGTGACTATAATTCTGCTATGTTCCAAATAACATCCAAACTTAAGTTATGCGGACAAAAAGTCACTGATGCTGATATGTTGGAGAAAACTTTTTCCACTATGCATATTTCTAATATGCTGCTTCAACAGCAATATAGAGAAAAAGGTTTTAAAAAATACTCCGACTTAATATCAGTATTACTTGTAGCTGAGCAAAATAATGACCTTTTGATGAAGAATCACAATTTAAGACCCACTGGTTCTAGTCCTTCGATTTATGGTCCATCTGGACATAATATAGCCACTGAATCAAACGCAACACACAGTGGCACGCGAAGGCATTTTAAACACGGGCATTTTAATGGTCATAATAACAAGCCTAACCGGGGATATAAACAGGTCAATAGACCAAATTATAAGGGCAAGGGCAAACAAAAAGCCCATCAAATAAATCGCCCTCCAAAATCCTCGGGAAAGTCAACTTGTTATAAATGTGGTATGACGGGGCACTGGGCTAACAAATGCCGTACAACAAAGCATTTGGTGGAATTATTTCAAGCTTCCATGAATCTCAACAAAGATAAAAATATGGAAGCTAATTATGTCAATGACACAACTCCACCTCTGCCAAAGTTTGACGTGTCCGATTTCTTCGTGGATGATGCCATTATGGACGATGCTTTTGCCACTAATCCAAATGACACAAAATAAATTATAGGACTTTCATATTGTAAATTATGTATTTTCTTTCGTATCCCTTATGATGTTATCATAAATAAGTTATGTAATATATGTACTTTAATGTTATATATGATGCATAATTTGTGTTATTTGCATATCAAACTTATGCTTATTTATATATTGAAGATATGGATCAATCAAGTGATAAAGAGCTATGTCTGATAGACAGCGCCACAACGCACACCATTTTGAGGAATAAAATCTATTTTTCTCAAATGACTTTAGTTGAAGCTAAAGTCAATACAATATCAGGTGTTGCGAAGCTCATTGAAGGCTCTGGGAAAGCATATGTGATGCTCCCTAACGGGACAAAATTACTTATAAATGACGCTTTATGCTCCAGCAAATCGCGGAGAAATTTATTAAGCTTTAAAGATATGCGTCAAAATGGTTATCACATAGAAACCATGAATGAAAACCAAAAGGAATATCTTTGTCTTACGACAACTAAATCTGGCACTAAACATATTTGTGAAAAAATGCCAGCTTATTCCTCAGGACTATATTTCACTTATATTAGTCCATTCGAAATAAATTTGGTCTCTAACGCAAAGTTAGATGATCAGAAAACATTCATGTTGTGGCATGACCGTTTAGGTCACCCAGGCCAAGTAATGATGCATAAAATCATTAAAACTTCACTTGGACACCCATTTAAGAATATCAGGGTTCCATTATCAAGTGATTTTCCTTGTAAGTCCTGTTCTCTTGGCAAAATGATCATCAGGCCTTCTAAGACCAAAATTGCAACTGAATCACCTGCATTTTTAGAAAGGATTCAAGGAGATATTTGTGGGCCGATAGCCCCGCCATGTGGACCATTTCAATATTTTATGGTGTTGATTGATGCTTCAACACGTTGGTCACATGTTAGTCTTTTATCGACTAGAAATTTAGCATTTGCTAAACTCCTTGCTCAAATTATACGATTAAGAGCTCATTTTCCGGATCATTCTATACAGAGAATCCGACTTGATAATGCAGGAGAATTTACTTCCCAATCATTTAACGACTATTGTATGTCGATTGGGATTGATGTGGAGCACCCTGTTGCTCATGTTCATACACAAAATGGTCTTGCTGAATCTTTAATTAAGCGGTTACAATTAATCGCTAGACCATTATTAATGAAGTGTAATTTACCTTCATCAGCTTGGGGACATGCTATTTTGCATGCAGCAAATTTAATTCGGCTTAGACCGACTGCATATCATGAATATTCCCCAATGCAATTAGTTACTGGACAAGAGCCAAACTTAGCACACATAAAAATATTTGGTTGTGCTGTTTATGTTCCGATTGCTCCACCTCATCGTACAAAAATGGGTCCTCAAAGAAGGTTGAGAATTTACATTGGATTTGAATCTCCCTCAATAATCAAATATCTTGAACCGATGACTGGTGACTTATTCACCGCACGGTTCACTGACTGTCATTTCAATGAGACAGTATTCCCAACCTTAGGGGGAGAAACTAATAAATCGGACCCAAGTACGAAAGAAATAACATGGAATGCAACAGGATTATCACACCTTGATTCTAGATCAAATATATGTGAGCAAGAGGTGCAAAAGATAACACATTTACAAAATGTTGCAAATCAGTTGCCTGATGCATTCACAGACACAAAGAAAGTGACAAAGTCACATATTCCTGCTATGAATGCCCCTGCCAGAATTGAAATTCCAGCGGAGAATTCTGAAAAATCTCTTGCAAATGATTCTTCTATACGCAAAAAGCGTGGCAGGCCACTTGGATCAAAAGACATAAAACCAAGAAAGACTAAAAGGCATGAATTGATCTGTGATGCCAAAGATGTTCATCCTTCTGAACAAGAAAATGAACAATTTGAAAATACTGGCATAGAAAATGATATTGACAAAACAAACATCTCAAATAATGATTCAACTTCCTTAAATGAGGAAGATATTCCAGATACTGATAGAAACGTTGATAATTATGAAATTTCAATAAATTACATTTCTACTGGAATGCAATGGAATCGAAAAGATATTGATATTAGTGAGATATTTGTCTATGCCGTTGCCACAAATGTTATGAATGAAAACAATGACAATGAGCCAACATCAATAGAAGAATGTCGGAAACGACACGATTGGCCAAAATGGAATGAAGCTATTCAAGCTGAATTAAAATCACTTGAAAAACGTGATGTTTTTGGACCGATAGTCCCTACGCCAAAAGGCGTAAAACCTGTGGGTTTTAAATGGATATTTGTGCGTAAACGCAATAAAAAGAATGAAATTGTTAGATATAAAGCCCGACTTGTTGCCCAAGGTTTTTCTCAAATGCCGGGAATTGATTATGAAGAAACCTATTCTCCAGTAGTGGATGCAACTACATTAAGGTTTCTCATTGGCATGTCTGTTTTTGAAAGGCTGCAAATGCGCCTAATGGATGTAGTGACCGCATATTTATACGGTTCACTTGATACAGACATTTATATGAAAGTTCCCGGTGGATTTAAAATGCCTGAAGCTTATAGCTCGAAACCCCGAGACATGTTTTCCATTAAATTACAAAAGTCATTGTATGGACTAAAACAATCTGGACGAATGTGGTATAATCGTCTCAGTGAATACCTTCTCAAAGAAGGATATAAGAATGATCCGATTAGTCCATGTGTTTTCATTCGGCGATCAAATTCGGGATTCGCCATAATTGCAGTATATGTTGATGACTTAAATATTATTGGAACTCCCGATGAAATTGAAAATACTGCAAAATATCTTATGAAAGAATTTGAAATGAAAGATTTCGGGAGAACCAAATTTTGTCTCGGACTTCAAATTGAGCATTTGAAGAATGGAATTTTCATCCACCAATCCAATTACACCGAGAAAGTGTTGAAGAGATTCTATATGGACAAAGCTCATCCTTTGACTTCACCAATGGTCATTCGATCTCTCAACATACACGATGATCCATTCCGTCCACGAGAAGACGACGAAGATATACTCGGTCCCGAGGTACCATATCTGAGTGCTATCGGAGCTTTAATGTATTTAGCTAATAATACTAGACCAGATATTGCATTTTCTGTAAATTTATTAGCTAGGTACAGTTCATGCCCAACAAGACGTCATTGGAACGGGATCAAACACATATTCCGTTATCTCCGTGGTACAGTTGATCTCGGCCTATTCTACCACAAAGATGCAAAAGCTTCTTTAATCGGATATGCAGACGCTGGATACCTATCAGATCCTCAAAAGGCAAAATCACAAACCGGGTACGTATTTACTTATGGTAATACCACAATCTCTTGGAGATCTATGAAACAGACGTTGACAGCTACATCATCAAATCATTCGGAGTTAATTGCACTTTATGAAACCGGGAGGGAATGCGTGTGGCTGCGATCTATGATTCAACACATCCAAAATGAATGCGGTATAAAGCCTATTACTTATTACCCGACTGTGATCTATGAAGACAACACCGCATGCATAGCTCAAATTAAAGAGGGCTATATCAAAGGAGACAGAACAAAACACATATCACCAAAATTCTTCTCTACTCATGATCTGGAGAAAGATGGGACGATCAACATTCAACAAATCAGATCAAGTGAAAATCCAGCCGATCTCTTCACCAAATCTTTACCCCCGAAGAAGTTCACAGAACTTGTACAGAAAATCGGCATGCACCGCATTCAAAATTTATGTTAATTTCAGGGGGAGTATTTGAATGCACTGCACTCTTTTTCCCTTCATCAGGTTTTTATCCCACTGGGGTTTTCCTGATAAGGTTTTTAACGAGACAGTACATCCAAATACAACGACATTATAAGTCGTAATCTTTACCCCTTAATTTTCACAATAAGTTTTTAAAAATAACAAATACATATTCAAGGATGAACATTCAAGGGGGAGTGTTGTAAATTCCTGAGAAACACATGTGTGAATTGTTCATCCTTGTCATTAGGACACCTAGCTATTCATCATCCATGTAATGATACTTGTAACCTAGTTAGAACAGGTGGCTCAATTTGTATTGCCACCAAATCTGTAGACTCATCATTTAGGTGACTAATCATCAAACTCAAACACTATAAATAGGAGCTTGATGAAGTCTTGTAAATTAATTCAGAAACTAAGAAACTCTCAGTTAGATTAAGAAGAAGTTATTTAAAAGTTATTATCAATATATCTATCTCTTTATTTAAGTCTTCATCTTCTTATTTAGAAGTTATTTAAGTCTTCACAACACAGTAGAATTTTTCCTAATTTTTAAACCTCTACTCTTCGATTTTCATTGGTATGCAGAAATATGATCATTGACTTCTGCATATTTGCCCATTGAACACGAAATTTGAAAAAAGCCAGAAGCAGAAGAGAAGAACAGAGAGATACATATAGACATATTCCGGGAACCGGAAGGGCAGGAAACCTTTTAGATTGCCGCTGGCGATTTCCTCCAGTGTCTATGCCGCGATGCCAGTTATCCATGTCAATCAAAACCGCGCCTTCCTCCTCACTCCCCATTCTACTGGGAACAAACTATCCAACTTCGCCCCCTCAACTCATCCTTCCTGCCACTTCTCCCCAACACCCACCTTTTTAAAACCCAAAACCCTGTTGTTTCGCAGCTTACCGTCTCAATTTATCCTGCCCAACGACTCTTCTTTGTTCCCATTCAGCACTCATCCCCGGCGCTTTGCATCCGTTATTGCAGCTGCAAAGAAAGGCTCTGATTACTACTCCGTTCTAAATGTCGGTAAAAACGCATCTTTGCAAGAAATCAAGGCCTCTTACCGAAGACTTGCTCGGCAGGTACGTTCTCTTACCTGTATGCTTTTAGTTGTTGGCCTTGTGCTGATAGCTCTTTCAAATAGGGGATTCTCTTTTTATTAGAAATGTATTTCTTCTTTATTGGAAGTGAAGGATTCATTGGCCATTTAATATAACAATGTAGCAATCCATCACATCCTAGTTGCAGCCAATCATTCCACATTTTCAGGATTTGATGTATTTTCTTGAATGTAGTAAGTTACTGAGTACTTTCTAGCTTTAGGGAGTGTTTGAAACAGCTTTAAAAAAAGCACTTTTGGAGTGATTTGGAAAAAGTGATTAATAGTAAAAGCTGATACTGTCTTAGAAAAAAGTGATTTTGAAAAGTAAAAGTTGGTAGTGTTTGGTAAAAGAAGTACTTTTTGTGTAATAGAAAATGCAAAAACACTTTTCACACGAAAGCCGAGAAAAGTAAAAATTGGTAGTGTTTGGTAAATAAGTGCTTTTTAATCCAAAAGCCTAGAAATGCTTCTTTTAAAGCTGTTGCAAACCAACAGCTTAAAATGATTTCTAACTCTGAAATTATACCTGAGTTGATCAATGTTTGATTTTTTGTTCTATGAAAATCTTAAAGCTATTATATAATGATTTTATGTAAGCTTTTTGTGTTCGGTAACTAAGGGGTTTTGAATTTCTGATGTTTTGGAGCAGTATCATCCTGATATGAACAAGGGTCAGGGGGCTGAAGAGAAGTTCAAAGAGATAAGTTCTGCGTATGAGGTTACATCTTTAATCCCCCCAGTGAAAGATTCACAGTTTCTTATCATTCATGCATATTGTGTTCAACTTGAGCTGTTTTTTCTTGATTAACTACTCTTTGGTTCAATTAAGGTTCAATTCCATTTGAGGTTAGTTGTTTGCAAGCGATTGGGTACGACTTAGGTTAGATTTGACTAGGGTAATGTAGATGCTTTTTGAGTTTTTGACACCAAAGCATTTCTCTAGGTACTATCAGATGCTGAGAAAAGGTCTTTATATGATCGATTTGGTGAAGCCGGATTACAGGGTGAATATAACGAATCTGGTGATGGTGCTTCAGGGGTAAGCTCGCGTCAATGTCATCATATCTGCTGGATTTGCTCATCTGCCTTTTGTTTATAATTTTATTTACTCTCTAAGTCATATGCAGTAGAATGGCTCTTTTTGAGTTTGCGTGTTGGTTGTTAATGGCTGTTTTTTCATTGTGAATATGTAAACCAAGCAGATAGATCCTTTTGAAATGTTCACCCAATATTTTGGCGACTCTCATTCCTTTTTCGGAGGAAGTGGTAGTTCAAGGGGGTTCAACTTTGATTTCAGCAATGCAGGGCATCAGGATCTTGATATTAGGTAATTTAATTTAATTTAATTTAATTTAATTTATACTACCTCCATCCCACTATGTTTGGGACAATTCGGTTTACGATGCTTGACCGACGATAAAGCAAACAGATCCCTGTTCGCACTCAAATTATTTTTAGAAAAAAGAAATTACATATTCAGAAACTACATTAAAATCTTTACAAAGTCGCAAAAACCAGAATCAAATTTGATATATAAAGTAAGAGATTAAGAGTGATTTGTGTTGATCAAGTGAATAGTGTCTGGGACAATCTTAGCGGGACGGAGGAAGTAATATGCTATTGTTACATTTATTGGGACCGGGCTTTCGGCTGACCACAACACATGAGGCTGTGTTCAAGCACTAATTAGAGAAGAATATTCTTCATGATTTTCATTAATTATTATCTAAATCTTCAAAGAATATTTTTTCGGTATTCATAATTTACCATCTAAATCATCAAAGAATATTTTTCGTTTAACATTCCAGCAACAAATAACTCATCAAGGGATCTTATTAACCATTGAATAAATGAATATTTCTTGAGTGATATCTAGAACATTCTATCATCATAAATGTTTAAAAACGTTAGGGCTATGGTTCATTTGCCTAATTTCATTTGTTTGCTCTCTGTTCAAAGGTCAGACCTATCTGGATTATTTTGAGGCTTCAACCTGTTCTAGTTTTTCTATTTCTGGGTTGACATGTTGATGGGAGTTCTACAGACAATATAAAACAATACACAGCTTGCAGTTTTTTCTCAAAAAATCTGTCTGTAAATTATCTGCAAAGATCTCGTACAATTCATCTTAAAATAACCATCAAGGTTACCGGTTAGGTGTTGATGTGCATAAGCACTCATGTTATTTAGTAACAGTCAGACACAAAACACAAAGGAGGGATTGAGGGAACATAAATATGATGTCCTTAACAATGATGGAAACAATATCCCCTACACCCGATGGGCGTGATGCTAAAATCATCTTGTTATTTCATTACTACGGTCTCTCTTGGACATTTAACAAAATGTTGAAAGGATCAGTAATGTATCCGACTGAAACTAATACTGAGGATTGGGTATATTGGAGCAGTGTTTAGTAATACCAACTGTTATTAACATCTTATTTTTTTTTTTTGTATAAAATCTGTTCATTTTAGCTTATTTAGTGTAGATATGACTTGCACTTGAGCTTTAAAGAGTCAATATTTGGAGGAGAACGTGATATTGAAGTACCTTGTTTAGAGGCTTGTGATGGTTGTGAAGGAACAGGAGCAAAGTCCAGAAGTTGCATAAAAACATGTTCTAATTGTCAAGGAAGAGGGGGAGTGGTGAAAACAGAGAAGACACCCTTTGGAATTGTGTCTCAGGTAATAGCCGTGATTGACCATTAATACAATAATATAATTCACTTGAGTACAGACATTTATGATTCATAGTTGGCCTTTAGCTTGGTGGATAGGAGTCCTCTTTTATAAGGACTAACATCTAATACTTTTCGTAAGATTGCAGTTTTCAGTAAATAACTAGACCTTTTTAATTTCCAATTCAATGAATAGCTTACTTTTGATAATCAGATTTTTTTAATAGTAGTTCAAATATTTGGTTGGATCTTGAGTTCTCACTTCTCACATATCTCTCATCTACATTCACCTTTGGCCGTTTTAGTATGTTTCACTTAAATTTACAGGTGGTAGAAAGTACCACTTGAGCTGAAAGAAATTTCACTTTCCATGTGACCCATTTTTATGTCCTAGTAACTTTTCATGGGATCAACTTAGTAATTTTTTTATATCAACTTCTTATCATATTCAAATGTGATATTTGAGTTATAACTTTTAGTACAGTTTTTAGTATTTAAATTTTAATAAGTAACATAAACTAAGTCTAACTATGGAGTATGAACTCCAACTTCTGCCAAGATTCGGTAATCCCAATTCCCAAATACACCTGATATTTGGGATCTATGGAGTATAGAGTAACCATTTGACCTACTATGTTGTATGGGCATGGAGGGTGTGGGGCATTATAATATCAGCATGTTCGCCATATGTTGATGTCGCAGATGAGAATGTTGATATGGATGTGTGGCCAAAGTAAGGATGGCAGAATTAGAAATGAGTTGATTTGAAAGAGATTAAGAGTAGCCTCAATGGTGACAAGATGAAATAGAATTGTTTGAGATGATATGGTAATGTTCAGATACATGTAACAGTTGCACATGTTAGAAGGCACTAGAAATACATATGTTTAACTGTTTGAGAGTATAGAATGAGTTTAGCTAATTTTGTGAGAGGCAATTAGGCCAGATCATGATACCTGATGCACATGGGGACTGTAGATGATATGATTCTAAACACGAATAAGTGATGCTGTTGTGACCCAAGACAGTGTAAATGTGTAATTCGAGATCGGAAATAACAATTAATACAATATGGTTCAATAGCTTATTTGTTAGAGGGAAAATATGATGGCTAGGCTAAATAACAGGGCCTTATCAGCTGCACTCCTGTACCAGTGGTAGACGATGGATCCTGTGAAAATGGGAGCAGATATTAGGCAAGGAGAGGGAATTTTGGAGAAGATGGAAAGATGGGTAAGACGATTTACCTCAATACTCATCCGAACTGCCTCCCCTTTTTGCGGTCCAGCCTCTTAGAGCATCCACAATGCAATAGTCTCTGGTCTCAATAAATTGTGCCAAGTGTCAAATAAATAAAGGACTTTCTAATACACATAATAGGAAGTGCATTGACTAGATATTAAACTACCGAAGGAGCTTCCAATGCATAATGTTTCACGGCCCAATTTCGTGCCTACATGGAATTTAGTATGTATTTATTTATAATAGTAAATTATCATTCTGCACAGCACAACAACGTAAAATGAAGCTGTCCCAGAATCGCATAGAAGATTACAATTCTCTGGCACTCTCACGTATCTTTGATTCTTCCCTGCATCAATGAAAGATTTGTTTATGCTTGCAACTAAAAGAAGAAAACAACCATTATTTAATCAGAATCACATACATACATACATACATACATACATACATACATACATACATACATACATACATACATACATACATACATACATACATACATACATACATACATACATACATACATACATACATACATACATACATACATACATACATACATACATACATACATACATACATACATACATACATACATACATATATACTTCGTATAAATATATATAGGGGAGAGTTCAAATAAAAAGTAGTGTTCCCGTGCAAAGTGCAAAATTTGCACTTTTTCATGTTTCGCTCGCACTTTTGCTTGTTTTTGTTGCACTTTTTCGCGGTAGCGAAAAAAATGGTTTATTTACAAAACTGCCATGGTGGTTTTGGCCGAATTTGGCCAAAATCGCTATGGGGAAAAAGTGCAACGGAAACACGAAAAAAGTGAAAGCGAAACATGAAAAAGTGCAAATTTTGCACTTTGCACAGGACTCCACTTTTTATTTGAACTCTCCCCTATATATATGTATATATATGTGTGTGTGTGTGAGTATATAAATATAAAGACCCACAAAAATATCATTCCTGTGATAGAATTTATATGAAATTCACCTCCGTTCGCAGATTTCACAAGGTTGGAGTGTTTTTCTTTTCCATAACATTAATTCCCAGTTTTCAGTTACAACTCTCATTTGATGTTATAAATTCAAAACCTAAAGTACTTCGTTTTCAACACCACTATGATGGAGAGCTGCTGCGGCGATTTGGAGGAGAACTTGAATTGACAATAAGAATTCGTACAGATCTGGAAGCTGGTAACTCTTTCTATAGTTTCCCTCTACTTTATGAAATTAAAGATAGAAATAAAGAACGCATATGAAACCTGGAACAGATTACAGAGTATTAATGCTCTATCATTATATTTTCTGAAGACGCACACATCTTTTTCCGAGTCAGCAAGTCTTAAAACCTTTCTACTCGCACACTTCAGGTTTCACTGTGTCAAATTTTGTTTTTTACCGGTCAGCTTTCTGTGCTTGAAGACTACCTGCATTGGAAGCTTAATTTAATATAAAATGTCTAATTTTGATGACATGGCAGACTTTACCTTCACTAGAAAGAGAGCATTGCAGATGCTCTTATATGCCTAGGGACACGTAGATAACAATCCTGGATTTGCCTAACCATTCGTACAGCAGTAGTAAAAACCTTTTTACCCTGAGTAACCAAACATAAAATACTGCAGTTATAATATAATGTAATAACATTCATTTATTATTAGTATATTAATATAGTATTAACGGACACAACAGATGCTGCTTGAGTTTTATACTTAGCCCCACCTAATGGGTTTAGTTATTTGTTTTCCCAATACGTTAATAGATTTCACTCCCTTTACTGATATGTCGAATTATCATTTCCTTAAAGTTTGTTTTGTATTGTTAGAGATAAAGAAAAAAAAGCACTTATTTTCTACACAATAAGTGTATCACATATTTTAAAAAAGCACTTTTAAAATGAGTAAAAGTGTTAGTTTGTTTACCTCCAGTCCCAAAAGCTCAAACTCACTGCTTTTGGGGAAGTAGGTATTTTTTTTAATTTTAGATCACAAGTGATATTTAATTCTAACTTAAAAAGTATACCCCCATAACTTTGTTAGAAATGCTTTGCATAAGTCCGTATCTAAAAAGTTCTATTGTGTAGTGTCATGGACAAGAAGTGTCCCGTGGCAGAAAACTACTCATATAACTTGAACCAAATGTGCACTTTGTGGTTATATCGTCTTTGATATAGTTTCCCAAAATTGAGATACATAAATTTTAAAACCATCTTTAACAATTGTCGAGTTTACATGGAGGTCGGCAATCAAACTCCTTTGACCTTTTTGTATTTGAAACCCAACTACTTTTTAAAAGATGCTTATAATTTCTAGGTATCTACTTGCCCAAAGTGTAGTGGTAATGGCAAGATAATAACAGATGCTTGTCGGCAATGTAATGGCCGAGGTCAAGTAAAATCAAAGCGGAGCTTGAGAGTGGTCATACCACCAGGAGTCAGTGATGGTAGCTCGATGCAACTTCGAGGAGAGGGTAACATAGACAAAACAAGGTGTGTTTCAAAACGAGATCTCATATTTCTACAAGTGTTGTTCTAGCTTTCCTCCCCTGTAAACGTTTAAGTAATATAAATCCTATGTTGGTCAGAAACCCATCCCGACTAGGGTGTAGCCTATTAAACTAGGGTGTAGCCCATCCCGACTCGGTTAGGAACCCTTGAAATCTCTTGTTAACATTTATAAACCTTATGTTGTAGCCATGTATCCCATTACACTTAGGGCCTGTTATTTTTCTATTAAGGAAGTGTATTAGACTATTAGTCATCAGTTTAAGTATGAAGTTGCAAGGTAAACGCTATACCAATACAAGCAATTTTTTATTCTACATCCTCATCTCAGAGGATACCAGTGGTTTGAAATTTGATCTGTAACTTGGTAGAAATAATAATGGCCCTTTTTTATGAATATTACTAATTTATATACAATTGACAAAAATGTGACTTGCTTTTAAGTTTTGCAAAACTATGACTAACCATATTATTTGACCCTGATTTAATACTACATTTATTTTTTATATTTCATTTTTGTTATTTTCCATCATTTGCAATGGAGCCAAAGATTCATTATTTTTTGGCTTGAGAATATGATGGAATAAAGCAAAATGACTCACTAAACTGTCTGCGCTTCTTTGTTATGCGCTTCTTTGTTATGAAGCAGCAGTCAGTCCATGCAATTTTGGTCCATGCAATTTTGGACGCGATTTTCACTATGGGTCATCCGGTAACAGTCTCTCTGTGCTTTAGTACAGGGGTAAGACTGCGTACATTTGACCCCCTCTTACCCCACCGGAGGTGGGAGCCTTTGCGGCATTGGGGTAAATGAAAATGATGATGATTCCATTTTTGTTATTATTAAATGCCTCCAACCACCCTAATGAGTACTGCTGCCACCATTGCCACCACCGCCACAGTGACTTCATTGTCAACCTTCTCCAGTGACTCCGTTTTCCAGTGATTTCGTGGTCTACCTTCTCCGGTGACTCCGTTTTCCAGTGACTTCGTGGTCTACCTTCTCCGGTTACTTTATTTTCCATTGTAGTATAGTGACTGTGATATAGTGACTCCACCGCCTCCGCTGCCGCATCCACTAGAGTGACTTTGTTGTCTACCTTCTCCGGTGACTCCGTTCTCTGGTGTCATATCGTGACCATCGTATAGTGACTACTAAATCTGGTGGCGGCAGTTACAGTGACACTACCCGCCCCTACAACCACAACACTACACACAACAACTCAGCCACCACGTACTCACATCCCCCAGCCAAAAAAACTCAGTCCCCATCCAAAAAACCATAGTTTAGTGACAGCATTTCAGTGACTACTGTCTCCGCCAACCATCAGTGACTACAGCCCAATCCCGTGACAAACGCCCCATGCATTTACCACCATCGACCACAGCTACGCCCTCCCTAGCCCCAGCCCCCTCTCTTGCCCCATCCCCAGTCCGAAACCCCCTTCCCTGCTCCTTGACAAGCCCTGGCCGTCTATCAGTTGCCATAGAATCGGCGCTCGAACAGAAAAGGAAATTGGAAGAGATAGGTGGTGGACCGGTGGCGTGTCAGTTGCCGATAGAAAAAGAGGAGGAGGAGGGGGAGGGGGAGGGGGAGGCATGATTTTAGGGTTAATTAGACACAGAGTTTAAGCGTGAACAATTTATATTCTAGATTTTCTATTTCCTTTGAGCTTGAGTTGACCGAGGGAGAATTTTTGTGTGTTTTCAAAAAAGATACCGAAAAGGAAACTATGAAGATTTTTTGGGATATGCTGAAAAGTTAAAGAGGAGATTAAAAGAGCCAGAAGGTATATATGAATGTTATAATTTAACTTTAACTCTTGCCATGGTAGACTGTTTGGGTTATTATATTTTGTATATCATTTTATGCTAAACAAGGAATGTTTTAAACATTTCACACATTAGCACATTGTTTTCTCCTCTCATATTCTACACTATTTACCTATTTGCCCAGCAGATGTGTTCATTATCCTTGCTTCAGGTCTAGACATTCAGTCGTCCTGTGATCCTGTCACAAGTGATAAAGATCTAAACTCCATGAACAATGAAGTGATGCTGAGTATTTGATTACTTGATTGCAGGGGCATTGCCGGCAACCTCTTTCTGATCGTCCATGTCGAGGAAGAGAACGGAATTTTGAGGGATGGTCTGAACTTATACTCAAAAGTAGACGTTGATTACACAGGAGCCATTCTGGGGACAATTACCAAGGTAGCAAAAGGGTAGTATGAATCTCCAATTAAGTGTAAACTGTTTGGAAACCTTTTCACTTTCATATCATCCATTTATCCTTTCTTCACTTTCAAAATTTACACATTGTTGAACTTTTTACTCTAATGCACATAATTCTCCCTACTATTTTCTGGGTCAAGGTCTGTTTTTATCATATGCTACAATCAACTGCTTATATAGTCAAAATAATTGGATTGGGTGATTGAAAGTTTGAAAATTTCCAATTTTATATGAACATCCCTTGTAACACCGTCTTTGTCTTCTATATACCTATAAACAATGGTGTGGGTGGCAGAAGATAATATAAAAATATAATATGATTTTAGTTGTCAATTCAATTCTGCATATTATTCTGATACTCTGACTGACTCACCCTTAATGTACTTATTTAGTCAAGCTTAGTTAGCTTCCACTGAATTTTTTGGTCGGGAAACCACAATTGTTTGGGATACAGCTACTTTGATATTCAACCCATAGTATTTGGGATATAAGTTTTACCTTGTTTTTACAGCTTTGAATGTATTGTGATGCGTATGTTTCTATTTCAATTATTGCCTTGCTAACTCTAGCCTTTTGCATTTTGTCATCCAGCTACAGAGTTAAGCTAGCTAGCTCTTCTCTATTTTACCACTGTTGTGTTTGCCAATTTATTTATTTGTATTTCTTTTCCCATGTTTTTGGTGGTGCTGGGGATGTGATCGCTCACAGGTCAAAACTATGGATGGTATAAGAGATCTGAAGATTCCTCCTGGATGTCAACCTGGAGATACTTTGAAAATGGAAAATATGGGAGTCCCAAATATGAGTAGACCTCATGAGCGGGGAGATCATCATTTTATTGTCAATGTTCGAATCCCGAAGAACATCAGGTTTGAACTTTTCTATGAGAAATGATGAATTTCAATTTATCTAACCAATGATGGTGGTGGTTATTCTCTCGTTTTTAGGCCACCTTTAGAAGTTCATTCTTATAAGCATAACTAACTTTGGTGGTTTGTTCTTGGCCTGGGTAGTAGTGTTTCCAATCCAGTATCACGGTTCTGCATTGTAACCTAAGATAGTTTACAATTATATTCAGCGTGTAATTTACCTTATTTCAGTAATGAAGAACAAGATCTCCTCAAAGCATTGGCTTCAATCAGGGCTGCATCCAAGGACCACTCAGTGCCTTTTGATGGTATGCTTTCTTATAATACAATTTTATGTTCTTTCGGATTTAGCACATTAATGTCTCCCCCTTTTGTTTATCTATTTATTATTTTCTTTAAATGTGATTCAGATCATCCACACAGAAGTGTTCCTCATATGTGGAAGTCACTCAAGAACTTCTTTAGGTATATTATAAACTGTATCAAGTGTGAAATCTCCCACGGCCTCTGGATTTTATTACAAATAAGCAAACCAGCAATATTATAAGGCCTCACACGGATAAGATGCATAAATGATACCTTAACTATCAGTATTGTTACATTTTTGCACCTTAACTCTTAAATGAAGCAAATCAGTACCAAATGTGTGCATAAATGTTTCAATTGGCAATACTATTCCAACTCCCGCTCAAAAAATCCAACGTGACTGCTAGAATTTCATGTCTACAGTCCACTGTACATTATTTATTATCTACTTAATCACTGTATGGTAGATGGTACGCATAGAGTTCTGGCCAGCATGTTGGATTTTTTGGCCGAAATTTGACTAATATTGCTTGTTGAAACATCACGTATAGTTTTAGTATTGAGGTACCAAAGTGCAACAAATCCAACAATACCAACAACTAAGGTACTGTTTGTGCATTTTGCCACACATTTCAGTGTGAAATCTTTAAAATGGTTCCCATTATGATCATATTCCAACACACAGGCAAAAGCAACCAGGCGAGCGGTTTGCATCAATGAGCATGGAGACACGTACCTTGAGGATCTGTCCATCTTTTACTTCTTCATTCGTCGTATCGATTTCTGCTCTTTTATTCTTAACGTGTATTATAGCCTTGGTTAAGATTGCACGAAGTACATTTCACAAGAAAGAAATCACAGATAGACAAAATCTTTCTCCCTACTAGGACTACTAGGAAATAAAAGATGAATTGTGGTGGGATTTTCTGTGACAGCAATGTTTCTATGTCAATGCATGTTTCTTTGCTTAGAGTGGATTGGTATTGTCTGCATTTTAGAATGTAGAAATTGATTGGATTCATACCAAAAGAGAGGCGGTCATTTTGAGCCATAATCTAACCCATGAATTCCAATAGACTACTGGAGGCCAGGACGCCTGTCATGCACACCCAGAATCTCTATCTCGTCTTGCAAGGGTATTGTTTTGGGTGGGGTTTCTAAGTTGATTACTATACTTCAAGTATTGTTTTGTTCCTAAAGTCTTCCTTCTCGTTGTCCCCTCATGCCCCATGGCATATAATTCATCTATACCCAAAATGGGACTAAAAAAGTTTGAAAATTGCAAAATAGGACTTCCATGTTTTTATTCCCAAAATAGGACTAATTACTGTCATGTTTTGGCAGTACCAGACTTCAAACATGGCAGTATTTTCCAAATTTGGCAGTAATTAGTCCTATTTTGGGAATAAAAACATGACAGTCCTATTTTGGAATTTTCGAACTTTTTTAGTCCTATTTCGGGAACTTTCCCTTGTTTTTTTCTGACAAATTTCATTCTTTATTTTTAACACTTCGGCATTTGTACTTTATTATCGTAGTTTTTTGCAAATGACATAAACAAAGGATCCGGGTTTCGGATAGGCACTTGGCAGCTATGAAGTATGGAAATTCTAGGGAAAAAGTATGTTTCTGCCTCAGAAACTATACGAATATTCTTTAGAAACTCTTCAAATAATTGTTTTCCTATTAAAATAAGTTATTTTACATTTTCAATAATTCTCACCTTTACGAATTACGATCAACATAGCTTGGTTGAGGTTAATAAATTTAGATAAGAAGAATATTTTGAGGTAGAGAATGATACGAATGAAAAATTAGGGTTGGTATCTTATGGTAGTGAATCTGCATTTGAAACCGTTTACTCCTTTGCCTCTTTGGTGACTTTTTTCTTTTTATTTTTTGATCCCAAGAACCACCCTTTCGGGTGTGGTAAATGTCGAGTAACATTTCCCAGTTTTTGTTGCTCAAAAATAAATTTCATATTTTTATGTGAACCTTGCTAAGTGAGGTAATATTTAGTTTCAAAGTATGTACGATGTATTAACGTTGTGTAATACAGCTTTTTCCTTAATATTACATAAGTAAAGTTTATGGGTAAAAGTATGGCTTAAAGTTTTAAATTTTGCCCGGCGTCCAAGCAGCTAGGTGAGTGCCTAGGCGGGAACATATCTGAGATAAGAAATTAATATGTAATCAACGTTCTTGCATAAAAATGATAAATAACATGCATGAATGATAGGATTCAGGGCCGATCCTAATACTTTTTTGGCCCGAGTCAAACAAAATAAAAAGGCCCTTTAAAAGTGATTTAAGTTGACTTTCAAAAAGCGAAACGAAAGTCCTTTTAGAGACGGAGGGAGTAAAACTTATTAGCAAAATAAAAAAATCAATTACAATTACCCTAAGCTTTAATTAGCAAAGATTTAAAAACATCATGAAATTTATGAAATTCTAAAATGTGATATAGCACACTGGCAAAATTAACATTTAGAAAGTAAAAACACAACAATTGAGAATATGGTGATTTTAGATTAACTTACCTCAGGAGGCTAAAACTGTATGCTGAAAAATTAAAATCTGAAATTGACCCTTGGGAAGTTGGCAAAGATACACGTAGTATTCTTTTTTTTTTTTTACTCCAGGGGGCGTCTGGGGATGGGGGCCGGGGGAGCCTGGAGTAATTTAGGCAGGAACTCACTCCATTGAGTTTCGAACCAGAGACCTCCTGTCAGGGAGAGTGAGTCGGCGACCAGCTGGGCTGAACCGCTTTCTTGTAGCATTTTGGGTATATACAAAGATAACTAATATTTTGTGGGCCCTTAATTTTTATCCAATATTGTGGGCCTGAGGCAATAGCCTCTTGGCCTCATGTATAGGTTCGGCCCTGATATTAGGATCATCACATCTAATAATATATTACAACTAATCACTTAACTTCATTATTTAATAAGTATTAAATAATAAGAAATATACAAACATATATAGTTTTTATCTTAAATAACAAGTAGTTGTTTTCATATCTGAAGTTAAAGATACATATATTGCTTAGAAAAAAAATAAAAAGGTAAAAAAGCATATATCTAGATGCGCTAGATAATTGATTAGGCGTTTTGAGTGGGCATTGGGCAATTACGTGCCCTAAGCTAATACACCTAGGCGCCAAATTGACGAGTAAACTAAAATTGGGCATTCGACTATTGCCTGGCGTCGGGGCGAGAATTATGTTGTTTCAGTGATTGAGAAAATCTTGATTTAAGCAAGATATTCCACATCAATTTGTTCCGCTATTTGGAGCAAATCTTATTTCCATTTAGTTGTGTTCGAATGATTAGCAATTACCTTGACAAGTTTAAAAAATTCCTACATAACCGAGAAATATTGCAAGAACATAGGAATCAAAGAAAGAAGATTTCTTGGATATTCATTCATCATCAGTGAAAATCTATATAGTACGTAGCAAGTAAAACTAACTAACGTACTAAGGTACATATGTATAAATATTCATAGACATTAAAAAATATAATGAAAAAAATATAATGAAATTTTAAATTTTGACTCAACAACATAAATTCTTTAAACCCCGTCCCTACATGTCATTTCTAGCTCCACGGCTATACATTACCACATCACAATATGCATTGAAATCTGAAAAACAAAATCTACATAATGATTTAAGAATATGATTACCCATTTTAATTAAACAGAGAGGAGTATATTCGAAGTATATTTTATGTGAACAAGAATACAAGATGCCAACGCGGCAACGCATTATAAACTCATGCGCATTAAAGTTTTTTTTAAAAAAAAACTGCACATTAAAGTTTTAAGTATTCGAAGTCATGCTTGGTAACTCATATACATTATTTAAATTTATCAATTTTATCACTCAACTTTTTATTAAACAGTCTATTTGGTGACTCTTGTTTTCACCTTATCAAACACAACTTTTGATTTCATGCACAAGCGTATAATAATAAAAAATAAATAAGTTTAAAGTTACTTGTTTTTGGTGAATTGGTGAAGTTATTGTTGAAGATAGCTTTTTTCATTAGTTTGTTAGTAAAAAATATTTTAATTTGTTTCCATAATTCGTCAAATTTAGTCAATTTAGCCGCTTCATTCATAACTTAATAAATTTCAGCCAATTCAGTTGGTTTCAAAGTTACGAAAAAGGTCTTAACTTTTGACTTTGCCGTGCGCTCACTAGTGTTATGATCAAAATAAGTAAGATTGTAGTTACTTTTTTGGTTGAATCGGCTGAAATTACTCTAGAAAGCCATTTCAGTTCATACGGAATATAACTTTTTCTTTATTTTTTTTATAGAATAGAGTATATATATATATATATACACACACACACACATATATAAATATAATTTTTCATAATTCAGTCAATTCAGCCGCTTCAACCAGCATTGTATTAGTTTCACTATTTAGGGAAGTCTTGTTTCAATCTAATAGCTCGTTTGGTAACATTGAAATTGATTGTATCAGTTGATTCTGCTAAAATCTTTTAAGTTTTGACTGAAGCGGCTAAATGGACTAAATCTACTGAATTATGAAATAATTGTAAAAAAAAATACATTTCATTAATAAAAAATAAAAAAGTATATGAAAAAATAGCTAAATGTGTTCTCTACAGTAACTTAAGACAATCATGTCAGAAAAGTAACTCTAACTTTACTTATTTTGATTATTATACAATTCAATACTCCGTATATGAAACCAAAAGTTACTTATTTGATGAAAAAGTTGACTAATAAGAATGATAAGCTAAATATAAGAGTTACGAATGGAAACAGACTCTAAATAAATCTAACTATATAGAGAGAGAAGTTTTCCTCGGAACTTCTTGACTCGAACTGCCGTCCAGCCATCTCTATTCAAGGTGGTTCCCGGTGGAGTTTTTTAGGAAATGTAAATTATGGAGAAAATTCCCTAAATAAGAGTAAAAACGTTTTGAAATTCCAAAATAGGAGTATCATGTGTTTTTATTCCTTAAATAGGAGTAAATTGTGCCAAGTGTGGCATTACAAGGCTTTAAACATGACATTTTCCAAACTTGGCATATTACTCCTATTCAGGGAATAAAAACATGATACTCCTATTTTGGAATTTCAAAACGTTTTTACTCATATTTAGGGCAATTTCTTTAAATTATGTTCACAAAATGTCAAATTAAAATTCAATCGAGAAGTCAATTAAATAAATTATTGAAAAACATTGCATCTCTTATACCGTAGTTTATATTTTGGTGCAGTGTTTGTCAATAAAAAAACTATCTGACTTTCCGATCAAGTTTTAAGCTGAACTTTTATGGACATAATAATTTCATAATCTATACTTCATGAAAAACGATGCTTGGATGTTCAATTTCTCAATGTACGACTGTACGTAGAAGAAAGTGCGTCGAAGCAAAAATCTAATGAACGCGTGACAAACTGGATATATAGTGTCCCGCAGTGATACGAATACGCTGACATGCCGATACACGGATACAGGTACGACGATACGAAAACTTCAAAAATTATAGGATAATTTTAAATACCAAAAATTAACCGTTATGATAATTATATACTCCGTACTATGTTACACGGAACGTGGTATATTTATAAATAAAAACAATAATATAGGGTATAATTTGCAAATATATATATATAGAATTATATATATAATTCAGAGGTTCATAAATAAAATAATAACAATACAAAAGATTACTCCCTTTGTCCCATTTTATAAGATGTCTTTACTATTCACTTGGTCAACACAAATCACTCTTAATCTCTTACTTTATATATCAATTTTTTATGAAATTTGAATTATTTTTTGCAGGTTTTGTAGCGGTTTTAATGTAGTTTCTGAATATGTAATTCTTTTTTTTCTAAAATTAATTTGAGTGCAGACAGGGATCAGTTTGCTTTATCGTCGTTCACACATCTTAAACCGAAAAGTATCTTATAATTCGGGACGGAGGGAGTAACAATTATGATAAAATTTCAAAGATTAGACTAAAAAGCTAAAGTACTAATATTTCGATTTAAATTCAAATAATATTTTTGGTTCTTTATTTGAATTTACATCTAAGTCTTTTAACAAGACTGATTTCAATTAATGTTTAT